AATTTCATTTCAGGGAGCAGCTTTACAACATCATCAGGAATATATGCAGGAAATAATTCACTCACAAATTCTACTGGATTTAATAGTTCACAGCAGGTAAATTCATACATAAAATTAAATGAAAGTTTGGCAAAACTGTATTTCACACGAGCAAGTTATCCAGTGCTTGCCCTTCGAAAATACTGAGCTCAGGAGATTTTGCTAAGAAAGAGAATGTCGTTTCAAGGGAATTTTTTCCTTACTTGTTACCCGATAAAAGAACAAGCTATATAATTACAATAGTATATCTCATATTCTGTTTGTGCAAGAAAATGTACTAAAAGTATGTGAAAGTTAAGTTTGCTTTTACAATCTTATGTTTGTCATCTCTACTGTGTAAAGTCCAGTGAAGACAGTGGAACACAGACATGTGTTTTTACTTATATTTTGGAATGTATACTAAAAAGTAGCAAAACCTTGAAAGAAAAGTCTGATGTTGCTTTTTCTCTGGTAGGAATATCCATCTTATCCTAGTTTTGGCCAGGGTCAGTATGCACAGTATTATAATAGTTCACCATACCCTTCACATTATATGACAAGCAGCAACACCAGCCCAACACCACCTTCCACAAATGCAACATACCAGCTTCAAGAACCACCATCTGGTGTCACCAGTCAAGCAGTTACAGATCCTGCAGCAGGTAATTACATGGATTTTATAATCCCCATGGGTCACATTTCTGTAAGTTGAAAGGTTTGGGAGTTTGTTTTTGTTTTGTTTAGGGAGGGGGTTGAAGTTTTTTCAACATCTTTAATGTATGGTATCTCTAGTCTTTAAAGTGCTACATAGTCCTGTATTTCGATTTAGATAGAGCATTGGTTAAGAAAATTTAAGACAATATTTAAATAAGGTTTTCAAGAGAAATACACTGTAATTTGTATTTATTTGCAATACTACTAACACATTTATTTTAAATTGTATGATATGGGAAAGTCTTTATACTGGGCCAAGTTCTGAGTCTCTTACACTCAGTGTTTACTTAGGTAAAACCCCATTAATTTTGTGTGAATAAATAAGTAATGCATAAAAAGCAAAAAGACTTTCAAGATTTAACCCATTGTACATTCTGAAAGATTGTCTGTGTTGCACATATTATAAGCAAAACCCATAATAATCTCTGTAAGGAATAGTTAAATGGGAAGTATTCTTGCAATCTTAAGGAAACATTTTCAGTGGCTTTATAACATTCCCCATCTTCTTTGCTGAAATGTGGCAGTCTTTAATTTACTCCTTTTTGCAGGTTAGAGTCAAAGTGGGCCACCTGTTTTAGAAATGAAGAGTAAAAAAATGTCTTTTTCATATTTAAAGTTATGTGAAAAAAAGTTGCGTGTGGGGGGGAGAGGGTTGACATTTCTCAAGGAAAAGTTCCTAGGCTGTAGATTTGCATCTCAGTGGTAGAGTAAAAATCCAGTGATTATTTGGAAAAGTTATAAAAGTTCTTAAACATACTTTGCACCTACACAATGGGTTTTGTAATGTGATCTGCCAACATTCTACCAGTTTTGTGCATTAATACAAAGCTCAAGAAAATTTAGGCGGCGCTGTTCCTTTCTGTACGGTTAGTGAAGGTAAGTTGGGAAGAAAGAAGGATACATAGAGGAGGAGATAGGACTCTTTCAGTACAGTACATGTGAATGTGTATGGAAGGCAGCTAGATTCACTTGTGCTTCCTTTTGTTGTTTAATACTCTAAGTGGCTTACTGAAGTGTAATGACTTCAGATGTTATTAAGAAAACATCCCCCTTACTTCAGACAAGTTTTAAATTTTATCAAAATATATTTACCTTGTAATTCTGATTCAGGAAATAATTTTCTAAATTTTTGTTGGGAAAGTTTAAACTTTATGTTGTTTTTCTTTTTAAAAGTGATATTCTCAGTTTAAACAGGAGCCCTATCCTGCCTTACTTAAAATTAGTGACACATTCAAAGCTTCATTTAATATTTCAGACCTCCAGTATCTTCACAAGTCTTGTTGAGGTCTTTGTGTCAGCTGCTTTTTAAAAGACCTGTGTCTAGCTAAAGTCTTTCTGAGAGATGAGGAATTGTCTGAGGTGTCATAAGGTGTGGTCTATAAACTTGCAAAGAAAAGTAATTATTGGTGTAGTTTTCTTCACAGGGGGATGGCCTGTGTCCTCCATCCAACCCTCTTTCTGCTTCCCTTTCACTCTCTGACAATGGAATCTATACATGTGGTTGCAATTGTTACCAACCCTGTCATTGCTCCATGTCATATCCTTTGTTCAGCTTGCTATTCTTCTCTCTTGGGTGTGATAAGTTGACAGGGATAGCTTTGTAATTGAGATATTTGTGTTACGGATTTAATGACTAAAGGCAAGTTTATAACTTATCCCAGACACTACCCAGGGGGGTGATGCAGCTATATCACAGGTAGCTGCAAATAAAGGAACACACAGCCTTTGCAGGGTAACATGTCCAGATATCCCTATATTAGGGGCTTTCTTCATACATTACTGTACCTTCCTGGGAGAAAAAAATGCCCAGTTTTTTCACACTTGCTATGTGGTCACCCCACTGGAGGGGGCCTCTAAGCCAACCTTGTTCAGGGGCAGGGCATGAATGCAGCCTTGTCTTTGACCTGAACAGCACAATTGAGATAGTATGTCAACAGAAGAAGATATACGGTTAGCACAGATTGCTTCCCTTCCTGCTCCATCTTGAAACAAGGAGGGAATCAGAAACTAGGTGGTGATTCTGAGTCACAATCTAGTTCCTGGCCTGAGGCAGAACAACACTGTATTGCTGCTTAGTCGGGGCTTATGGCAATTGCAGTTGAACTTCTACAGTATTTTAAAGACACATTGCTGGTATATCGTACCCAAATGTGTGAGGCCCTTCAGAGAACATGGAAAAAGACATGGTCCCAGGTCTGAAGTGCTTACCATCAAAGCTTGCTGTTGTACACCATGTGAATGCACTTAATTTTACTCAGATAAGCAGGTCTTTAAAAGTCAGTGGTACTATTCACATGGATAAACGCTTGCAGAATGGTTGCAGTCATGATTACGGGATGATTTGTTCATGTGCATACACACCTTTTGGGTTCTCCTGCATTTTAAAAATGAAATTTTGGGAGGTGGAGACAGGATGAATATACAGCTGCAGCATTGGAAATGCACTGCTATAGCATTTCAGTGTAAACGCTGCTTGCGCCAACAGAAGAACTCTTCTATTGACCAAGCGCTGTCTATCCCTTAGCAGCAGGGCCAACAGCCACTGTGGGTCCAGAGGCAAAGTCTGTGGGGGAAGGGGGCAGCATCACACCCTTGAAAGGGGTGGAGTCCTGGGTGGAAGGTGCAGAGCTGAGGGTATTCAGCCTTTACCCTCCCCACCCAGCCCTAAGAATGCTGTGGAGCAGTGGTGAAGCACTCCCACAATATTTCAAAGGGGTCCCAAGTTCCTGACCGCTGCCGTTTCTGCTGGGACCCTAGGTAGACCCTTTTGCCCCCCAATCCTACCCCCGTCGGTGGTCCTGTACCTGGGGTTGGTTGGTTTAACTATATTGCTCAAGAATTTAGATTTTTTGAGGTATCTTGACCTAATTTTGTATGTATACCATGCCTCATTCTAGAGCCACTGAAGTGTGAACAGCATGTGTCTGTCCTGCATGCAATCCTTGGAGTCTTTAGGCAAGTCATTTACTAGAGTGACTATGTAACAGGAGGAGTATTAATTATAAAAGTTTAACATCTCTAGAGGAAAAAAACATAATTTTAAAGTAGCTACAGTTTAGAAAATGACTAATTTCTATAGGGTTTTGGTATTTAACTTTACTATGGAAACATTTTCTCTCCCATATCCATCTTTCATCATGGTTTGTGACAGTTTGTGCAGTTCTAGATTAAGTTTTATATATTTTATATTGTGCTAAATAATTTAGTGTAGAAACAGTGAACAACTCAGAGTTACCTTCCTATCTTACATGAAACCACAGTCATAATTTATTAAGTTACATTTCCAGGCAGAAAGAGTTGCATTATTCTTGAGAATGACCCCTATTAGATTTTCCTGCTTTCCATACTACAATATGTTTGAAAGACATTGCAGGTTGTTTTTATATTGCTTACACAATGCAACATCAAACAACGATAAAAACTCTGTTAGTCTGCTAAAATTATTCTGAACCACAGGTTACTGATTTATCTCCATAGGCTAAACATTATTCCACGCTCAGCGTTTCAAAATAAAAAGCCACTTTGACTCCTTCTCCTTATCAGATTTCACAACAGTAAATAAGAAGTAGGTGAGTAAACCAGAGCCATGAGTTTATATAGGCAAAGTCTTTCCATAATAACTGAACAGAAATATATGCTGTAGAAGAGTGATGTTAAATGCTATATTTACATTTTTGTAGTGTTTTAATCTTATTTATGGATTTTCCCCAAAAATATAGAAGATGAAACGTATCACATATAGATGTAGGAGGGAAATATGGTGTCTATATATATATATATACACACAGAGAGAGAGAGAGAGAGAAAACATGAAATATTTATAATACCCAGGGTAGATATATTACATACAATTATGAGGATCATAAAGGTACGTTGAGTATTATTCCTATTTACCTTTTCTGATGAACAAGAAAGCATTCAATTAAACTGAAGAGAGCAGATTTAAAACCAATTAAAGGAAATATTTCTCACAACCCATTAATTCAAGGAACTCCTTGCTACAAGATAGCCTGAGGACAAATGTAAAATATATAGATAGAACATTCATAATTATTTTCATTAGGATTAAAAAAAAATTAGAAGAAAGATAAAACATTGAATTATTGGAGCACCTTTAGGTACGTAGTATAGTACCTGTCCATTGCAGGGTTTCTTGCACCCTTTTTTCAAGCCACACTTTTTTTGAAGCTGCTGAAAGGGAAAAGACTCTGAGGCCCACTATTCTGATTGTTTGAGCAATTCCTGTACTTTTGTTAACATGCTAAAAGTAAAGTTATATCAAAATGATACACTAAATCAAAGTCTAGCAGAAACTTGAAATAAGCAGGCAATAACCCTTATCAGTGGTAGTGGTGTAATTTAGTCAGACATCATTGCAATAAGCAAATATATAAGAATTTAAAATTTAGAGAATCCCCAAATTAATACTTACCCAAAAGAATTTACACTTACTGTTCTTTAAAAATCCTAAATTCTCTAATCTGACTATTTAAATATCAAAGGTCATGAATAAAACAAAACAAAAAAAGCAGTCGTGTATCACTTTAAAGACTAGAAGATGGTTTATTAGGTGATGAGCTTTTATGGGGCAGACCTACTTCCTCTGCCCCACGAAAACTCATCACCTAATAAACCATCTTGTTAGTCTTTAAAGTGCTACATGACTGCTTTTTTTTTGTTTGTTTTACCAAAATCAGACTAACACGGCTACCTCTCTATTACTTTTAAAGGTCATGAAGTTTCCCAGTATTAACTTGACTTTTATTATGCCCCATTCCTCTAAAAGTATCCATACAGGCCACCATCTATCTGGGGCATGGGTCATAGTGTTAAGTATTTTCTACACAGTAAGTTGACTGAACTTGTCTGTCAGTGAAAGTGGAAACATCTTCATTTCTCTGACACACATATACACATACACACTCCTTTAGGTACATTTACTCTTATAATTTATCCAAATTTTCAATTACATTTTCCCCATGTTAACCATCCACATATATTTTTTTATCTTATTTAAGATAATCGATATGTACCCAGACACAGCTGCCAATTTTTTTAGTTCCTAGGGGTATTCAAACCACCACTCCACTCAGGCCCCTCCCCCACTCCACTCTTTTCTCCAAACCCTCACCCCCTCACTGGCTCTTTCCATCCCCGCCCCACCCTCTTCCTGTTGCCGCTTCTCCTCCTTGCTCACCATGCCTCTTGTACAACAATGAACAGCTGATCACTGGTTGGGGCGGAGGAGGGAAGAAGCTGATCAGTAGTGCTACACCTGGGTACTGAGTACCCACTATATTTTCCCTGGATGCTCTAGCCCCAAAGAACCCAGATTCAGCATCTGTGTACTGAGACAACAGGAATTTGTCATCTTGGGTAGCCGGGCTCTATGGTCAGGATTTTCAAAAATTAGGTATGGTTTGAACCTCTCTAATCTGGGACTCTCTGCTCCAGCAACAACCCATAGTCTGGCAACAACCTACCGGACCATGGATGTTCCAGGCCAGAGAGTCCTACTGGAAACCCTGCGGGCTGGCAGGCCAGTGAGCTGCTAGTGGTGGGGCTGCCCATCAGGGCTGGGAGCCCAGTGACAGAGCTGCTAGTTGAAGTGCCGGCAGCCTGGCAGCAAGACTGCAGGGCTGCCTGGTGGGGCCAGGAGCCCGGCCTGCAACAGGGGAGGGGCTGCTTAGGAGGCTGGCAGCCAGGCCAGGACAGAAGGGGCCAGTCGCAAGGGGGCCAGAAATAACCTTATCTGGGTCCAGTCAGGTTCCGAGAGTGCCAGAACAGGGAAAGTTAGATGACTAAATATATTTTCAGATGTTCAACTCCAGTTGAATTTACAGGAGTTACAAGTGTTCATCGCCTCTGGAACTGAGGCCTCACCTCCAGAAAGATTTATTAAATAAATGTCAGTTATTGGGTCAGAACACTTTTAGCACAGATTTTCTCTATATTTTTCTTTTTTTTATTCTTCAGTTAAAATTTACTGCTATTAGAAAATTAAAGATGAATGTCAGTTTAAAAATAGGGGGTTATTATTTGAAAGCATGTGTTTGAATTAATTTACTATAATGTATTACTTATGATGTCATCTCCCAGGAAGAAGACTGTTTTCAGTCAAAATATTAATTTAAATATTATGTGGAAATGTACTATACAATGGAGTTTATCTTGGAATGTACGTCAGCTGTTGTTTAGACAATGACATTTTTAAAGTTTAAATAAGTGAATCCAACAATGACTTTTTTGTGTTTTCTTGGAAGATTACATATCTGTTTTTCTCTTCAGTCATGTAGCTTTATACATTTGAATTATTTTTATAGTTCAATACAAACATGACCATATATTAGATTTGAGTCCCATTTGGACATTCTCTCATATTGTTTAACATTATACATTTTATTCCAGTTGTTTTTTCTTCTAAAATATTTCAAGTTAATTTAGTTGTTTAAGTTAAGTGAAAATTTGAGGACCAAACACGTAGTTTTGAGAATATCAGCTTTGTTTATTCAGTGCACAAGATCCTTATTTGTTTGAGTCATTCTGACTAGTCGCATTGATTTTAATGATTTTTGGATCATTAATTTAATCAAACATTTGAATTCATTAGAAGAAAGGGTTACTTCTGTGAGAAGGGATTGCCATACATCTGTCCAAACTGCTGCACTTTGTTTATGTACAGATAGACTGCTATACATTAGGGATCTGAATGACTAGTCAACTATCCGATAAGCAAATGCTGATCGGATAGTTGACATGCACAGACCCCTGGGCTCCACACAGTGCTGCTGCTTTGAATTGCCGCCAATGTTTCAGAGTGGCAACGCTGCATGAAGCCTTGGGTCTGCTGCTTTGAAATGCTGTGTGTAACTCAGGGCCAGATGGGAGTCCCTTGCAGGCCCCGGGCTGCATGCTGCATCTCAAAGTCTTGCCAGAAGAATATTGTTTTGCCACAAGAATGTTTTCAGCAAAACTTATCAGGCCTTTACTTACATTTCTAACGATCATAAACAGTTTTGTATAAACATTTTCCTAAAATATAATACATCATGCATTTGTTAGGAAAGATTCTGTGTCCAATTTTGAAATTATTCATCCAGTAATTTCAGTGTTGAAGAGTCTTTGAAGAATATATGAATCCTTCAAAAAATCAAGGTTAAAATGTAATCCTTATTTTGAGCAGTCCAGCATCATATTGTGATTAAAAACAATTTATTTGAACCAAAAAAGGTGACATCTGAAAATAGAACTCATTAACTTTCCAATTCTTAAAAGTTTTGAGGATTGGCTATTAAGACTTCTAATCTTTTCCATTTTCAATGTGACTTCACACTCGCAAATCATTGTGGAGATAATAGAAAAAGGATGTGTTGAAAATTTGGCCCAGAATGAAATTAACAGCAGTGAAAAAAATTATTCCAAATTGCAACAAACTTAAAAATTTTGATAGGGATTTTGGAGAAGGATTAGAGGTGTTTTCCTGTGTATCATTTGGAGTTGTGAAGATTTTCTGGAGTTTTTCCATTTTTGTTTGTTTATTATTGGTATAATGCTGCTTAATGGCTATCATAACCCTAATTATTGTCAGTGCACTAAGAGCTTTAGTACCGATGTTATATTTTTACATCAAATCTAAAGAAATAAAAGAAAGTAAAAACTGACCTTTGGATTTTGAATTGAAAGGTGAAAGTTATTTCTGTATTACAGCAGAGTACAGCACAATCCACAGTCCATCAACACCCATTAAAGATTCTGATTCAGATAGATTGCGTCGTAGTTCTGATGGAAAGTCACGTGGGCGAGGCAGAAGAAACAATAACCCTTCTCCGCTGCCTGACTCTGACCTAGAGGTATGTTTTATGCCTTGTATTTACTGCAAACTCTGATATCTTTCAGTTACTTTGAAGAGAGAAATTTATATAAAGATCAGCAGGGCCACTGACAGCAATTTGAGGCCCCAGCACAGAACTGTCAGTGGGTCCCCACACACGCACAAGATGCACACATGGTTCACCTGACACTCTAGGTGGTAATGCAACTCCATTGGTTGGAGCCCAGCGAGCAGCTGGCCATGTTGCTAGGCATGCTCTTCTGTCATGATCAGGGCTTCCATATGCCTGCCCAGTAGGGTTGCCAACTGTCTCATCAGGTGAACCCAAAGATCCTTGCCCTGCCCATGCCCCTGTCCTTGCCTGAGGCCAGACCCATCTCCCACCACTGCTCACTCTCTCCCCCTTCCTTCATTGCTCACTGTCCCCCACCCTTACTCCCTTTCACCAGCCTGGAGCAGGAGGTTAGAGTACAGAAGGAGTGACCATAAGCTTCCCTGGTTCCATCTTGCAAGCTTCTTGGAGGCACCCCATCACCACTCCGCAGTCCCTCTGGATGGTGCTGGCTGGGTCTCCCAGGTCGCCTAATTGGATGGAAGGAAACTGATGTGAGCAGGACTTGCACAGGTAGGGAGGGATGGGTGAGGGGCCACTCCTTTATTAGAAGGCCTTGCTTGGGTAACATCTCACATATACAAAATGGGAAGTGACTCTCTAAGAAGGAGTACTGCAGAAAGAGATGTAGGGGTCATAGTGGACTACAAGCTAAATATGAATCAAGAGTGTGATGCTGTTGCAAAAAAAGCAAACGTGATTCTGGGATGCATTAACAGATGTGTTGTGAGGAAGACACGAGAAGTCATTCTTCCGCTCTACTTGTGTCCAGTTCTGGGCATCACATTTCAAGAAAGATGTGGAGAAATTGGAGAAGGTCCAAAGAAGAGCAACAAGAATGATTAAAGGTCTAGAAAACATGAGCAATGAAGGAAGACTGAAAGAACTGGGCTTGCTTAATTTGAAAAGAAGAGGATTAAGAGGGGACATGATAGCTGTTTTCAGGTATCTAAAAGGGTATCACAAGGAGGAGGGAGAAAAATTGTTCTCCTTAGCTTCTGAGGATAGGACAAGAAGCAATCGGCTTAAACTGCATAAAGGAAGGTTTAGGTTGGACTAGGAAAATCTTCCTAACTGTCAGGGCGATTAAACATTGGAATAAATTGCCTAGGGAGGTTGTGGAATGTCCATCTCTGGAGATATTTAAGACCAGGTTAGATAGACATCTATCAGGTATGGTCTAGATGGTACTGGGTCCTGTGCCATGAGGACAGGGGACTGGCCATGATGACCTTTGGAAGTCCCTTCCAGTCCTAGTGTTCAATGATTGTCGGTGTGCAGTTTGTAGGCTGTGGGAGGGAAGTTGAGTGTGGAGATTGGGTTTTGGAAAGGGGGGTTGGGTGCAGACTCAGTGCTGGGGGTAGAAGGTCATTGCTTAACTTGGGTGACTCCTGAAAGTGACTGGCACACACCCAGATGTGTGGGGGAGTCTCCGCCTGTATCTTCCCACAGCCACCACCAGACATCACAATTCCCATTGGCTATAGTTACTTCACAACTCCCATTGGCCAGTGCCAGTGGGGGCTGCAGGTTCTGAGCCTGCAGGTATGGTGCTGGTTGCTTCTGGGAGCTGGTTGCATGGAGTGAGGACTGATAGGAAGCCTGCCTCGGCCCTGCTGTACTGCCACTGGCAGCCAGAGGCCCTTTTAAATAGCCCAAGCCTCTGGGCAGTTGCCCTGTTGGCAGGCCTACAGCTCAGAAATACAATGACAATATGTCTGGTGGAACATTTTCCACCCAAACACTTTTCTAATAGAAATTAAGCTTTTAGCTAACCATTTTTTTTTATGAAAAATTTACTTTCCTTGGAATATTTTGAAAAATGAATGTCTGAAACCAATGAACCCTGACCAATGTGGCACCTTAGAAACTAACAAATGTATTAACTCATGAGCTTTTGTGGGTAAAACTCACTTCATCAGATGAGTAAGTGAATTTCATACACAAAAGCTCATAGCCTAATAAATTTGTTAGTGTCTAAGGTGCCACAGAACTGCTCATTTTTAAAGTCACAGACTAACACTTCAATCCCTTTGTGTTTAAAACCACATATGTTTCAGTTTGATAGTTTGCTACAGTGTCTCATGGTGCTAAAATGGTTTCATGTGTCCATTGACTTCTATGCACTACAGTCCCTGGGCAGACTTTACCTTCCATTATGCACCCCAGCCAGGGACAGCCAGGATGCACTAGTTCCCTTTGGCAATAAGAAAAGCCATTGGCTTTTGAATAATGTACTGTATTACGGTATTCTCTTTTTGTTTAACAATAGCTATATTTATATATTAAGAGAATAATTTACAGTAGCAGTAAGTATAATACAAAACGAACAGATTGTTTTACTCTATTTTTTTTACTTATTATTTACAGCCTCTCTCCGACTTACAAACCCGTTACGGACCAAGCAATTGGTCATAATTCAGTTTGTTCATAAGTCAGACCCCATAGAGTTACACATGACTGCGCTGTTCGTAAGTGCGGATCGTGTTCGTAACTCGGGGTTTGCCATTTACGACAGCTTCAATTGTAACTGCGAACGGTCATAAGTAGCAACTCGGGGACTCTATTGTTAGTTTTTCTGAAATTAATAAGAAAACTATCAGTTAGTATGAGACCATTTCAATATAATTTTCTCATTTGTACACTTACTGATTCAAGTATCAATTTTACAGAGGGACTTCTTGATTTTATTTATTTATTTATTTTACAGAGGGTATTCATTTGGGATTTGGATGAGACGATCATCGTTTTCCATTCCTTGCTTACAGGGTCCTATGCTAACAGATATGGGCGGGTAAGTGTCAAGGAACTAATTTACAATCATGTGCTGTTACATAGGTGTGTTTTTCCTGCAGAAAGGACCAGAATGTTAAGGGACTGGCATGATAGGCAAAGTAAGGTTGAAATATAAGGGGATAGGCAGAAAACCAGGAGGATTTTCCTAGACTCCATTCCTTCCTTACTTTCTATAAGAGAAAAATTACATTATTGGAAGCGATAATTATGCCATTTTAAAAGGTTGATCATAGCGTCTGCTAAGCATCTGTATCTCCTATTGGCTTCATTCTGTGTTACAAATACTCAGCTCCTTTCAGGAAGTGCTGAATGACTTGTGGCATAGGTAGGGATAACAAGCAATTAGCAAAATTATTTGTGTGATTCATCACAGTATTAAAAATAGAATGCCATTTATTTAAGCACTTTTGGATGTTTTCTACATTTTCAAATGTATTGATTTCAGTTAAAACACAGAATACAAAGTGTACTTTAGATTTATTTTTATTACAAATATTTTCACTGTAAAAAACAATAGATACTATATTTTTCAATTCACCCACAAGTGCTGTAATGCAATCTCTTTATCATGAAAGTTGAATTTACACATATAGAGTTATGTATAAAAAATAACTGCATTCAAAAATTAAAGAGTGGAAACATTTAGAACCTATGAGTTGGACTTCTTATTCAGCCAATCGCTCAGACAGACAAGTTTGTTTACATTTACAGTAGATAATGCTGCCTGCTTATTGTTTACAATGTCACCTGAAATTGAGAATAGGCATTTGCAAGGCACTGTTGTAGCAGGTGCCAGCAAATATTTATGTGCCATATGTGCTAAAGATTCATATCTCCCTTCATGCTTCAGTCACCAGTCCAGAGGACATGTGTCCATGGTGATGAAAGGTTTTGCTTAATAAAAATAAAAAAGCAGAGTTAACTGAAGCATGTACATTTTCATCGCCTGAATCAGGTACCACTAGAAGAAGTTTGTTTTTCTTTTTTGGTGGTTCAGGTTCTAGTTTCCATATCACGATGTTGTTCTTTTCAGTCTTCTGACAGCATGTTTCACATCTCATCTTTCTCAGATTTTAGAAAGCACTTCAGATTCTTAAATCTTGGCTCAAGTGCTGTAGTTTCTTTAGAAATCTCACATTGGTAATTTCTTTATGTTTTAGTCAAATCTGCAGTGAAGCTGTTCTTAAAATGAACAACATGTGCTGGGTTATCATCTGAGACTACCTTTAAAATATAATGTAGAGCAGAATGTGGTTAAAACAGAGCAGGAGAAATACAATTCTCCACACATGCCAAAACATGAAGGGGCATACAAATGTTTAGCATATTTAGCATATAAATACCTTGCAGTGGTAACTACAAAAATTCCATGCAAACTCCTGTTCTCCTTTTCAGGTGACATAAACAAGAAGCAGGCAGCATTTCTCCTGTAAATATAAACAAACGTGTTTATCTTAGCAATTGGCTAAATAAGAAGTAGAGCTGAGTGGACTTGTAGGCTCTAAAGTTTTACGTTGTTTTGGAGTGCAATTCTGTAACAAAAATTATATTTTTAATTTTTACTTTCTTAATAAAGAGATAGCACTGCAGTAATTATGAGGTGAATTCAAAAATACTATTTCTTTTGTAATTTTTACAGAGCAAATATTTGCAATAAAAAGAATATGAAGTGGGTACTATATACTTTGTATTCTGTGCTGTAATTGGAATCAATATATGAACATGTAGTAAAACATCTGTAAATATTTAATGCATTTCAAATGGTTTTCTATTATTTAATAGTGCAATTAAAACTGATTAATCATGATTAATTTTTTTGCATTAATCATGTGAGTTAACTGTGATTAATTGACAGCCCTAGGGATAAGGTATTGCATTTCCTTTGGGTACACTAATAAAGAAATAGTATGTTTTAATGCCTCAAATAAGCTATAAGTAAGGTGAAAATTAGTTTGGGGGCCAGATAGATTAGTCTATTATATTCATCCAAACATTAATTTTTTAATGTTAATTGTTAATTTTTAAGTTTAGCCTTGCTGCTATTCAAGTCTTAAAACATGTTAGAGTTTTGAATATTATTTTCGAGTAGTGGTTTCAAAATCTCTTCCCTTAAGAAAAATGCAGTTGTAAAGTGAATGAATGCTGTTTATGAATTTATGTGGCTTAGGAAAATGTTTCACAATTCTCTGTGTTTTTTTATAAAACAAAATGACTGGTAGTTGAAATCTGATCTGTTTCCTGAATTTGTTTTAAATCTGTCTTGTTCCAGGCCAGATTGATTATATATTTTTAAAAATATGATAATATTAATTGCTTATATATTAAGTAACTCTCATGTTTATTTGGAATAAGTTTGGAATTAATAAATGAATGAATATTATCTAATAGCCTGCACAAAAGTTGCAATCCATTTTATAAGATTTTTAAGATCAAAAGATGACCAATTTGTAATCCGTTGCTACTGAAATAAAGCTTTTACGTTGTAATTCTTTATCAGTTTTTCATCTTTAAGTACTTACTCGTGTGTATTCCATACTAGGTGTAAGTGCACTATGTGCACTATTGCCAGAGATTTTTCCCTTAGTGGTATCTATAGGAATCACATGCACACATTGATTAGGCACACTTCTGGACCTCTCAGTAGCAGTGCCACTTACACTACCACTCCACCTGGACTTGATCTTACAAGGCCATGTTCGATTGCTTCATCCAAACCTTACTGCCCTGTATCTGACTCAATGGATGCTGAGTGGCTGAATCCCAAGAAAGAGATCAGGTTCAATAGGTCTTACTAAGTAGTTGAAAGCCTTCCACCAGGACAACTTACTTAGCTAAGTGGAAATGTTTCACATGCAGAACATGTGAACAGAATCTTTCTCCATCCTGATGTTCTCTTCAGTCTGTCTTGGACTACGTGCTCCACCTAAAGCTGCAAGGTGACTCTCCCTATTAAGGTTCATTTCGCCGCTATCTCAGCCTTCCGTCCCCCAGTCAATGGCAGATCATTGTTCTCTAACCAGATAATTATTGGGTTTCTCAAGGGACTGGAAATATTCTATACTTAGGTTCATGAGTCAATCCCCCTTGTTGACCCATTGTCCTGTCAAGCCTCATGGGACCCTCTTCAAGCCATGAGTATCATGATCCCTACTGCTTCTCTCCTGGAAGATTGCTTTCCTGGTAGCTATAATCTTGGCCAAAATGGTTTCTAAGATCAAAGCCTTTATATCAGAACCTCCTTATGCAGTATTCTCCCATCTGGCCTTTATATCTATGGTGCCAAAATTCCATACAACCAGATTGTTTTTCTACCTGTCTTCTTCCCAAAGTCTCAAAAACCTAGTGAGGAACATTTGCTTCGTACATTCGATGTTAGGCAAGCCCTCACCTTTTATATTGAGGGGACTAATCCCATCTGCAAATTCACACAACTCATTGTAGCAAGTGAAAAGGATGAGAGGGCTACTTCTGCCATCCTAAATAAATCATGTTCTGGATAACCACCTGTATTTGGGCCTGTTGCAAGTAGGTGAATGTTAGACCTCTAGCCATTGTAACCAATCATTTCAGAAGAGCCCACTCTTCGTCAGCAGCGTTCCTCATGAAGGATATCTGCAGAGTGCAACCTGCTTGTTGGTTCATACCTTCATGTTCCTACAATACATCACCCAGCAGGTTCAAAATGGCGCCATTTTTGGGAGAGCAGTGTTTGTCAGCATATCTATGAACCCCAAGTCCACTTCTGGAATACTGCTTGTGAGTCTCCTAGCATAGAGTGCATCTAAACAAGCACTCAAAGAAGAAAAAATATGAATGGTTACTAATCTTTTGTAACTGTTGGACTTTGAGATGTGTTGCTTATTTCCATTTCATGAGCTACCCTTCTACTCCTCTGTTGGAGATACTGGCAAGAAGAAATGGAGAGAACTTAAGGTGGCGACCCTTATATCAGTGCATATGCAAGCAATTCCAGCATTCTTTAGAGCCAGCCCAACAAATACAATTAAGATAAAAAGCTTTAGCAACCATGCACACAGTATGTGCAAACCTATCCTGCAATGGAAATGAGCAAAGTATCTTTTTTTATTATGTGAAAAGGTTAGTATAGAACTATCAAAAACTATTTTTCGGTTTACTGGTCTACCCTTCTGCAAACTGGGTTACTAGGTTGATAAATTATCGTTGTCACTAAATTATAAGTTAAATTAGCTGATATATTCTAAAATACATAACATTGTTCTTTCTTAATCACTGCAACGTACTTGTTCATTATGGGCCTGATTCCACAACCCTTAAACACAGTGAAAAACACAAAGTCAAATATACGTGCTATCTAATAAGAGCAATGTTTATATAATTAAACCGTATATTTTTCAGGGTTGGATTTTCAAAATCTTATGCCTAAATTGCATTGAAATATTTGTGTTTGATTTCACATGCCAGTCTTATGGATTATTTAGGTGCCAGCCCAAATGATCGAATCCTAAATTCTCGTGACAAAAGCTATGGGTTCATAATTTCATAAAGAATTATGACGTTTGATTCTCAACTTATTAGTTGGTAGCAATGTGACAAAAACATACGATAGATAGCTATAGATAGCTATGCATGTTAAAAAGAGATGAGTGACAAATGAAAGCAGTTCAGTCACTGGAGAAATATGGCTTAGTCGGACTGCCAGCTGATGCATATGTGACAGAATGTGTCTACCATTCAGTAAATACATAGTGGATCTCATTGGCCAATTGCAGATTTAAGCCATGTTCAAACAATGTGAATAGCAACAAGTTTAGCAAGGTGTTTATTCCACCTTCTTTGGACATAACCTGGAACATGGAATAAAACATATTTGATGTTAGAAGAAATTATTTTAACAAAATTAATGGGAAGAAGAGGATGATTTGAGGTATCCTTTGCTTTGGAAGAAAATATTAGAATATTTTAGAATAAATGGGGTGTGTACAGGGCTTGCATTTTCCAGCTTTAAAAGTCAAAATGTGCATTTTAGATTTGTGTTTGCTTTGTTACGTTATGTTGACCCCACAAGTTCTTCACACTTTAAACTGTTAAAGGAAAAATACTAACTGATTTTCACGGATTTTGGATTACACCCAAAATATTGTCAAACACATAACAGTGAACAAACTGAAAAAAACATAGGGAACAATTTTTTTCCCCCTTCTTTTGTAGTAATCTTAGGAGTTATTTTTGACAGGAATACGTTTCTGTTTCTCAGTAGATATCTGGTTTTCCCAATTGCCAGTGTCTTTAAGATTTATGAATCAGTATTATCAGGCTCAACTGTTGCGAAAATCATAATGCCCAAATCATAACCCTCCCCCCCAAAAAATGAGATTTTATTTTTCTATTTGATTTCTGATTTTTAAGCCGTTAGGCTTCCCGTTTTCAAGCTTTTGTCCACAACAAAAGCTAGAAACTTAATTTTAATGGAATCTGAGATCTCATATAACCAATTAATTAGAGAAACTGGATCTTAAGTAAAGCAATAAATACGAGGAGAAAGGGTAACAAACCCTGTCTGTTCCCTCTTGATCCATTTTTCTATTGTCTCAGTGAGCTCTTCTTGAGGATTCCTGTGAGTAGTGACAAGGAATATTGCTGAACAGACAATACTCTTTTTTTTTTTTTTTTTTAAGTCTCTGCCTCTCTCCTACTATTTTTCTTCTGTTTATTTTTGTTCCTCTTTTCCATTTGCTCTCCCTCAATCTTTTACATTTATTTCACCATCTGCTATGTTTATCTTTTTTGTCACTTTTTTTCTCCTCTATCCCTCAGATGCTGTTTATGAGCAAAATCACAAATGTGCTTTAGTGTTAGCATTTAATCCGAGAGAGTGGGACATTTTTTCTTTCCTGTTGAAATAGATATGACTGTTTCCAAAAATAGTGCTCTGAAATGAGTATAATAATGTTTAGTTAACAGTTCTTTTAATTGACATTAGAACTTTTAGCATCCACATAAATGATGTTTTGAGCCAGCTGCCTACTGAATTGGTTATGTTGGAAGCTGGGAGAACATTGATGCCCCATGTATAGTATTGATAACTCGAGACAGGCAAATATACAGTAGGAGTGGCATTAGAAATGCCGTGGCCCTTCTGTATTAGGGATTTCAACAAGTAGTCGACTACATGATTAACCAGTAAGCCTGGGTTTATTGGTTAATCCTATCAGCTGCACACATTCCCCCACCACTTGCTGCCTCTGTATCACAGGCAGCAATGGGGGGGAGGTGGGAGCTCATGCCTGTGACAAGCTGGCCTTTAAGCCAGCTCCCCACAGGCACCGGATCCCATGGAGCCACCTGTGCCCCCTCCCCACTCCTACTTAGGGGGGCTAGGTAGGAGCTGGTACACGTAGGAAGCTTGCTTTCAAGCCAGCTCCCCGTGCATATTGGCTTCCGCGGATCCACTCGCTGCTGCTGTGGTGCTTGATATTAATGATCTGTACTGTCATGTTGGAGTTCAGTGTCAGGTACATAGCTCCAGTTTCCGGCTCTCTAGGTTGGGAGGAGCTGGGAATTCTGTGGTGCCTAGCACAGTCAGCCCTTAGAAGGAGGAAGTAGAGAGTTGTACTTCATTGAACAGCAATCCCTGTAATTGAAATAAGGAATGATATCAATTAATTTTAAAGGATGCTGATTTTATAACAGTTCGCAAATATGGCATTGTATGATGAGAAGGAAAGCCATCCTTAGGATTTCACCGAGAAAATAAAACCTTCCTAACCCCTTACATGCACATGTTTCCCTTCCAGGAAAATAAAATAAATTCTGCAAAACTATCAGCCTTATAAAAGGAGGAATACAGTAGTCTGATTCATACTTTAACGCAAGCAGATCAATCTTTGTATTTACAATATCCCAATTTCTCTTCTGAAATTTTTGGTGATGCAAAATATAAATATAAAACTGATTTGTAAGTGTAACGGGCTTTATTGCTGGCAAAATGGCAAGATTAAATAAATTTAAATCTTTTTATAGGAGTTCATAAGTATATGTAACTTAGAAAAATGCTCATTTATTATTGTTTTATTATATCGTATCATACATCATATTATTATTTGTTAATTTGATAGTGAATTGTATAAAAAATCAGAAATCATGTTACAAAAATGATTAATTTGATATAGGAAAAAAACTGGGTGCTAAATCTGGTAAAGTTCCTGGTTTTAATTGTCATCAATTGTAGAATGTAAGCAGATTTAGGAAAAAAGAAAACTGTTCCTACTATCCTGTTTTTTATCATAAAATAAAACTCCTGATGCACTAATGTTTGATTAATTGTGTCTTGAAGCACTATAACATATTCTTTCAAAGCTGTATTTTGTATGTTCTTGGATAGTCTTGAGAAAGCATTGTAAGTGACGGAATCTACATCAAATAAATATATTAGACTCAATTTTCAGATAAAAATATATAAAACATAAAAATCAAAACAGGACAAACATCTGTAATGCATTTGGTAACCACAGTGCTGAACACACTTCTTGAATTTATTAGCTCAGTAAGGAGTGCGTTGTTATGGTAATTTCTGCAGAGAATTTAAAGTGTGTTCTGTATCAATAACAAACAATAGATTTGTTCATTCTGCATGGGTGGGCTGTATTTAAAGAATAATTAAAGCATGGTTTTGCAGAGAATTAATGAGTTATTTTATATGTTGTGGTTGTTTGCAAATTAAACATTAATGGTGATTTATTAAAGGCATAATCAGGCTAATGACCAAATCATCTTACTCATGGAAGTCTCCTGGAGTATGCCATGATTGTTTTAAATCTATGCACTATATTTAAATCTTGAAGTGTGGGGGAGGTCCCAATCCTGCAGTTGGAACAGCATAAGTGGATCTCTTGCATTTATATATCCAGAGATCTGTTGAAGTCTTGGTGGAGAATCAGGGTTTTCACTATCAACAGCTTTTAGGGTAGCCCAACTTTAACTAGATACGTGATATGTAGGTGACCTGTCAGCTGATATATTCAGTATTCTCTACTTCTGAGCAATATTTCTTATAGCATGTGATGTGTGCATGTTACTGACTATATTTTGCCATTGTTTCTTTGAGGATCCACCTACTTCAGTTTCTCTTGGACTACGGATGGAGGAGATGATTTTCAATTTGGCAGACACACATCTGTTCTTTAATGACTTAGAAGTGAGTACTGATTGTTTGTTTACACTGAGCAGTTATTTAACATTTGTTTTGTTTTGCATGATAGCAAATAGCTTGAAAGTCTGGTTTGGTATAACAACTTTAAAATGCAAATGTTAGAAAAAAAAAATATATATAATATTCTCCAAAGGATTTGTTACCCCGAAATGCAATGCTTTTATTTAATGTAAGCATCAATTTTGTGCTATTATATGTGCAATTTTAGATTATTCATCTAATGTATATATGATCATGATAGGCCAGCTTCAGAAGTGGATTCACAAAATCCATCTATAAGCATTAGAATTCAATAGTCTGCACAGGCCATTAAATATTAAACTTCAGCTTCTATAAACAGTTAATAGCTGGGTGCAGATTTCTCAGTTACATCCCACTGAGAGGAAATATTACCCTAGAACCCAAGGGAAATCATTAATGTTGCATATGCTGTCAATCTCAGAGGCTTATTACAGTGGGGTCATCTGCCTTCCGCCGTGGCAGGTACAATTTGTTACATACTAGGATTTCTTTGTTAGTTATGCCTCTCTTGTGTGGCATGCTGTGAGTATGTGGTGTCAGCATGCCAACAGCTTTCTCAACCTCTGTGGGTTATGGTTTTAGGATTCTTGTGAGATCACTCTTAAAACTATCTGGATTGCTGAAATTGACTGTCACCATGATGCGAGGCTGTTTCATCTTAAAATGGAAAAAGTGATTTCTGTTCATATTTTCATAACAAGAAAACATGAAAATAGTCAGATTTGTTTCCCAGCATAATAAAGACAGCCGTTTATTTAAAATCCCAGTGTTTAGCAAGCTTGTGGTTGGACTGCCAACAGACATTAATCATCAAGTTGTTGTTTTGCTAGATTTTAGGAATGTGTTATTCCAGACAGGCAAAAGAATCTAAAAGATTCAAATGCAACTTTTGCTGATCAAAGTTAATTGGCATCAATTGGCCTTTAAATATTTCCTGATGTTTCCCTTTTCAAAATCAACAAAATACACCTTATTTAATAGATGAGCCAAAATCATTTGAAAAATGCCAGTGTGTGACAGATCTTAAATGTGGTTTGTACAACATCTGTCCCTTGTTTAGATTTCTTTTCATCTGAGAAGAAACTACTCACAGATGAATTGGCAACTTACAGTGTAATAAAATTATTTAAATGTGCTTTATTTTTTCTTCCATTCCTTAGTGAAGTATTTATTTTTACACTTACAATAAAACACAAGCTTTCTTGCATTTAAAAGTGTTTTCTTTCATTAAGGAAGCTGCATATAAAGACATTATTGTTTTTTATACAAAAATGCCATTAGTGAATGACATGTGTAGAACTGATTTTTCAGACTTTTAGAAGAGCATAACAAGTACAAGCTACTTACTTTCCAAATCTGTTTCTGATTTGCATTTCATTTTATCCAGAGCAGCAAAAGATGGTAGTATCACATCTTACCAATATGCTTAATAAAATGTGTAGTGTGTTTTCATTTGCTTTGCACAGCCATATATGAATCCTATAGCCACCCTTTGATACTTGAACATAAGTGCCATTGGCATTAATAGCAGTTAATCTCATACCTCAGGGGGATAATTGTCATGTTATAGCCTTAACATTACAAAATGTCATCCTTTAATTGTTCATTAACCTTTGAAGCAGCTGGCTGTGCATGTGAAGAAATATTGGCCCAGATCCTCAACTAAGTCCAAGAAGTGCACAAAGCAGCTTGGCCATGTCTGCATTCTCCCAACACTTTGCCAGTTGTCTGGTGTTCTCAGCCTATGCTAGAGCAGTCCAAATACAAAGAGAAAGCCGGCACAATGCATTCTTAAATATACGTGTGCGTACGTTGGCCGGAATGGAAGCTGCGAGATTGTGCTGGGGTGGGGACAGCACGTGAAAGCCGGGGGCTCCCAGTGAAGAGATACACATGGCCCCCACAGCTGGCCACTTTGAACAATGCAGGGGCGTAGAAGGCAAGGCGCTTGCCCAAGGCTCTCGCTGGGCTGTGGGATAATGGCAGTTTGGTGGCCGGATGCAGCCCATGGGCTGTATTTTACCTGCCCCTGTCCTAATTACTTGACTTCACAATACTTAGTTGGTCATTTTAGCTTGTGTGTTCTTGGGAAGTAATATACTGCCAGATCAGACACCTGCCTGTAACTATAACTCCTTTTAACAAAAATTTGGTCTGGAAATATCGCAATTTTGTTAATAGTTGTGACACAAGACTGAGGTGAACAGGGTACCATTCTCCCTTCTCCTCTCCCCTGGCGCCTTCTGAAGTCTGCAGGGGCAAAGCCTTGCTCTTGTATATCTTCTAGTATCAAAAGGAGTAGAGACCATGCAACCCTCAGAAGGTTCACAAAAGAAAGAACCTTGTGCACTGTGCAGAGAGATGTGGAAGGGGAGGGCAAGAGGGAAGTGAGAAGCATTCGTCAGGGCATTTCCTTCACTCCTTAGATCTTCTGAGACACGCATTAGGAGAAAATTAATGATCACTTTATGTACGATCTCTAGATGTGAGGAAAGGAGCTAGGACTGAGATTTTCAAAGGTAACTAAGGAATGTAGAGAACTCCCATTGCAGTTGGTGTTGAAAATTTCTACCTAGAATTTTTTTGTTTAGTGTCATTGTAAATATCCAGCTGTCATTTCATGGCCTGTTTTGAATTTGTTGGAGCTGTTAAAACATCCTGATGTTAACTAAATGTAGTAACTTTCAAATCTACTATTTATTCAGCTAATCCTTTGTGCCCTAAAGCATAGCTATTTCAGTATAAAAAGCAATTTTAACCTGTCTTGTTTTTTTTTTCTTTTTTGGTAGCAAAACAAAAGTGTTTTTAATACAGGTTGGACCTGTGTAGTCCAGCATCCAGATGAGGGATTTTGCCAGTCTTGGGGAGGTCACTTTTGTCTACTAGGCACCAATACGCCTGACCACTATCCTCCCAGCCGGTTTCTGTCCCCTTCTCCCCGCCATCCCCACTGCTGCCCTACTGCTGGCAGTCTGCTGCCCTGCAAGCCCTCAGGTTTCCAGCCCCAACCCTTCCACCAGGACTCTCTGATCCTGGAACATCCATGTCCAGTTGCTGGACCAGAGAGTCTTAGTTTTGAGAGGTGCAACCTGTATACTTTTTTTAACTCCGGTGACTGTTTCAGGCTTTAGGATGTGATCATTTATTAATCTTATGTTATTTAATTCAAGCATGGTATTATCTTGGATACCATCATTGCTTTATTTGTGGCTTTTATGATAAACAAAATTGGGTTTATAATGAAAGTGTAGTTATACCTTTAACTGTAGAGTGATTCCTTTGTTAAATAATTTTTTTTGTTTGTAATAAAAGTAATGGTTAGCAGACCTCTAGCCTAAGCACAAATGTCCACATGGATATTTTTAACCTCAGGATGTAAGCTCTGGGAGCCAGTCAATTGATCTGGGCTCTGTGATAGGATGTTTTGTTTTGTTTTTGTTTTTGTTTTTTTGTTGATTTTTGCTCTGTAGATATACACAGAATCTATGTTTCAGAACCTAAATAAGTGGCCTCATTTTGAAGAGGGAGCATGAGTGGGAGTTACATGCCTAAGTACAGGGTTAGAAAACATTCTCATTATGTAATGGAGGAAACTATATGTATTGGCATAATGTTCTCAAGAGAACCAAACTATCTCACCCAACAAGAATGGTGTAATAATGCCTGAATTCATGCTCCAATCAGCAGTATGTTGTCGGTAGAGGGCATATATTGTTATGTTTTAATTAAATAAATTACGTGTTTTTAGCATGTTCGATATTATGCCGCAATGTATTTAAGGAAGTTAGCCACTTGATGATAAGATTAAAATGTGATAGCCACCCAGCACAACTTGTAATATTTGTCCTGCCAACTACCTTTAAAAATTAGTTCTTTTCTTTGACAAATTACCTAACCTTTTTAATTAGGTACGTTATAGAAAGAATAATTGGTTACATCTATTATTGATATTTAAAACAGCAATTAAGACTAAGATTTCAAAGGTATTAAATATTTTACTAACCCTAGTATTTTTTACATTATAGATATAACCTCATGTGTGAAGCTGTAGATGTCACTATATATTAGTTGACCATGGTCATAAATCTTTTTTTTTTTTTTTTTTTTAAATGTTAGCATTATGGAATTTTTCTTGTTAACGTTTATGAAAAAGACACTTTTCTGTTTAACAATTTTATTAAAAAATTATAGGAAATAAAGATCCGATAAAGTAATTATTCAATTCAGTTCATTAGGGATTGTTATATTTGTCTGGGCTTTTTGTGTTCTGTTTGTTTTTTGGTTCTGGCTTTTGTTTCTTTTTAAGGCAATTTTGTTCTTTTTTATTAAGTTGTTAAATTAATTTTGACACATCAGAGAAGGTAAATGATACACATGAAGGTACAGCAATGATTGGCAATTTGTTTTCTTTCACCAGTGAAAGATACGTAATCTGTATTCATAGACGCAAAATCCATTTCTTGCTTCTCTGTTTGTGAATCTGAGGAATGTCCTGTGTATTATTTTACAAAACTGTCTCCGTGTGCAATCTGATGAAATGTATATGGAAGTCATTTATTATGAATGCAATATGGAATGCATTTTTCAGCTACTTTAGGTAAGGTATTTCTGCATCTGTCAGAGAGAAGGAATATTATCAGTTATACATTTAAAGCAATAGTGCAAGCCCTCCAAAAAGGAGGGGAAGGAGAATCAATTTGATGTCATATTTTAATAATACCACTCCTGATTGTAAGCTACTTTTTTGTATTGGTTGCTTGCAGAAGAAAAATTGGGGAAGTGAATCAGAAATTATGTTCATGTTATAGGCAATATTTTGGTGTAACAAAAAGGATTTACATTCATAGCTATTGAGACCTTGACTCAGTGATTGTCCATCTTGTTTTGAAGGTGGTTTGATTAAGGTTTGTGACATAATCCCACCTACATGTGGAAATCAGCTAACTATCATCAGTTTTAACTGT